CAGGGGGTGGGACATTAACACGTCAATTTTATTGCAGACAAACAACACAGAAAGTTTGTTGTCGTACGACAATTCTACAGACGCACACACTTCCCACTACAACAACAATGGAGCATGAAAGAGCTCTGGGTCTGAAGTTCTATTTAAAAAACAACCAGATCCTCGACAAACCCGATGACAAACTCGACAAACCCGATGACAAACTCGACAAACCCAACAAAGGCGTTGTTTATTTCAAACTGTGTAGGGAAGAGTTTTCATCTCACAGAAGCTCCTCAACCCTACAACACCAATTAAATGAAAACATGTGACAGAACAGAACCTGCTACAGTTGTGGGTTAGGGTTCAGGAGCAGCTCTGGTATCGGCTCCCAAATATCGGTTCAGTCGATATCCTGGTTGGACCCACTGATGTAATGAGACGGTTTCCTGTTTCACCCAGAAACTCTCAGAATGTTTGAACTTTGATTCACTCACCTGTTCTGTTCTGTTTCCTCGGTGTGTTTTGTTTTGGACTTGACCCTTTCACTCTTTGCTCCGCATGTTTTGTTTTTTACTTGACCCTTTCTCTATTTCCTCGGTGTGTTTCTGCAGAAGACCGAGTGGATGACCACCACCTGTAACCACGCCCTCTACGCCATCTGTGACGTCTTCACCCATTTCTACGAAGCTCTGAGCCCGATTCTCCTGCCGGACATTTTCACTCAGCTGCAGTGGTGTGTCAGGCAAGGTAAAAAACAAACAAACACCTGTACATGAAACACTTGTAAACACCTGTACAGTAAACACCTGTACATGAAACACCTGTAAACACCTGTACATGAAACACCTGTACAGTAAACACCTGTAAACACCTGTACAGTAAACACCTGTAAACACCTGTACAGTAAACACCTGTAAACACCTGTACAGTAAACACCTGTACAAACACCTGTAAACACCTGTACAGTATACACCTGTACAGTAAACACCTGTACAGTAACACCTGTAAACACCTGTACAGTAAACACCTGTAAACACCTGTACAGTAAACACCTGTAAACACCTGTACACTAGAGGAAGGAACCCGCTCACAGTCACATTGTCTTTGTTTTTCTCTGTATTTTTGACTCTAAAACCTCCTGTAATTGAATAAATGTAAAGTTGAGGTGTTTAAAGTCACACTGCGGAACATTCCAGACAGAGCAGTGACGTCTCCGTAGAACCAAACAGGTGAAGGATCCCAACTAAAAAGTTACACAGTGCAGCTTTAAGCACAGGTGAGATGGTCTCAAACCAAACTCGGGTTTATAAAAGTGATGACGTCATTTTGAGCCTGAACTCAGAATCCTCGGAAAACACCTCCGGGACGTCCTCGGAAAACACCTCCTGATCAATCACGCTGTGTGTGTTATACATATATCTGTGTGTTTATTGTGTATTATCGTGTGTGTGTGTGTTGTGTGTGTTGTGTGTTATCATGTGTGTGTGTGTTGTGTGTTATCATGTGTGTGTGTGTGTGTTGTGTGTTATCATGTGTGTGTGTTGTGTGTGTGCAGATAACGAGCAGTTGGCGCGGTCGGGGACGAACTGTCTGGAAAACCTGGTAATTCTGAATGGAGAGAAGTTCAGTCCTGAAGTCTGGGACATGACCTGCTCCTGTATGAAGGAGATTTTCCAGAACACCTGTCCTCACGCGTAAGACACACACACACACCTGTACACACACACCTGTCCTCACGCGTACACCACACCACACACACACACTGTCACACCTGTAAAGACACACACACACACCTGTACACACACCTGTACACACACACTAACCTGTACACACACCTGTACACACACCTGTACACACACCTGTACACACACACCTGTCCTCACGCGTAAGACACACACACACACACCTGTCCTCACGCATAAGACACACACACACACCTGTACACACACACACCTGTCCTCACGCGTAAGACACACACACACACCTGTCCACACGCGTAAGACACACACACACCTGTCCTCACGCGTAAGACACACACACCTGTACACACACACACACACACCTGTCCTCAGCCGTAAGACACACGCACCTGTACACACACACACACACACACACCTGTCCTCACGCGTAAGACACACACACACCCCTGTACAACACACACCGTCCACACGCGTAAGACACACACCACCTGTACACACACACACACCTGTCCTCACGCGTAAGACACACACACACCCCTGTACACACACACACACACACACACACACACACACCTGTCCACACGTAAGAACACACGTAGACACACACACACCTGTACACACACACCTGTACACACACACACACACACACCTGTCCTCACGCGTAAGACACACACACACACACCTGTAACACACACACACACACACACCTGTCCTCACGCGTAAGACACACACACACACACCTGTCACACGTAAGACACACACACCTGTCCACACGCGTAAGACACACACACACACCTGTCCACACGCGTAAGACACACACACACCTGTACACACACACCTGTCCTCACGCGTAAGACACACACACACACCTGTCACACCTGTACACACACACACCTGTCACGCGTAAGACACACACACACACACTGTACACACACCTGCCTGCAACACAACACACACACACACACACACACACCTGTCCTCACGCGTAAGACACACACACACAGACACACACACACACACACACCTGTACACACACACACCTGTCCTCACGCGTAAGACACACACACACACCTGTCCACACGCGTAAGACACACACACACACCTGTACACACACACACCTGTCCTCACGCGTAAGACACACACACACCTGTCCACACGCGTAAGACACACACACACCTGTCCTCACGCGTAAGACACACACACACCTGTCCACACGCGTAAGACACACACACACCTGTACACACACCACACACCTGTCCTCACGCGTAAGACACACACACACCTGTCCACACGCGTAAGACACACACACACCACACACACACACCTGTACACACACACACCTGTCCACACGCGTAAGACACACACACACCTGTCCACACGCGTAAGACACACACACACCTGTCCACACGCGTTAAGACACACACACACACCTGTCACACACACCCACGCGTAAAGACACACACACACCTGTCACACACTGACACACACCTGTCCTCACGCGTAAGACACACACACACCCCTGTACACACACACACACACACACACCTGTCCACACGTGTAAGACACACACACACCTGTCCACACGCGTAAGACACACACACACACCTGTCCACACGCGTAAGACACACACACACACACCTGTACACACACACCTGTCCTCACGCGTAAGACACACACACACACACCTGTACACACACACACCTGTCCTCACGCGTAAGACACACACACACCTGTCCACACGCGTAAGACACACACACACCTGTCCACACGCGTAAGACACACACACACACCTGTACACACACACACACACACACCTGTCCTCACGCGTAAGACACACACACACACCTGTACACACACACACCTGTCCTCACGCGTAAGACACACACACACCTGTCCACACGCGTAAGACACACACACCTGTCCACACGCGTAAGACACACACACACCTGTCCACACGCACACACCTGTCCTCACGCGTAAGACACACACACACCCCTGTACACACACACACACACACCTGTCCACACGCGTAAGACACACACACACACCTGTACACACACACCTGTCCTCACGCGTAAGACACACACACACACCTGTACACACACACACCTGTCCTCACGCGTAAGACACACACACCTGTACACACACACACACACACACACACACACACACCTGTCCTCACGCGTAAGACACACACACACACCTGTACAACACACACACACCTGTCCTCACGCGTAAGACACACACACACCTGTCCTCACGCGTAAGACACACACACACACACACACCTGTCCTCACGCGTAAGACACACACACACCTGTCCTCACGCGTAAGACACACGCACCTGTACACACACACACACACACCTGTCCTCACGCGTAAGACACACACACACCTGTACACACACACACACATGTTCTCACAAGACACACACACACCTGTCCTCACGCGTAAGACACACGCACCTGTACACACACACACACACACACCTGTCCTCACGCGTACAACACACACCTGTCCTCACGCGTAAGACACACACCTGTACACACACACACACACACCTGACACCTCACGCGTTACACACAACACACACACCTGTACACACACACACCTGTACACACACACACACACACCTGTCCTCACGCGTAAGACACACACACACACCTGTACACACACACACACACACCTGTCCTCACGCGTAAGACACACACACACACTGTACACACACACACACCTGTCCTCACGCGTAAGACACACACACACACCTGTACACACACACACACACACACACACTGTCCTCACGCGTACACCTGACACACACACACACACCTGTACACACACACACACACACACACCTGTCCTCACGCGTAAGACACACACACACCTGTACACACACACACACCTGTCCTCACGCACACACACACACACACCTGTCCTCACGCGTAAGACACACACACACACCTGTACACACACACACACCCCTGTACACACACACACACACACACCACACACACACACACACACTGTCCTCACGCGTACACACACACACACACCTGTCACGCGTAAGACACACACACACCTGTCCACACACGTAAGACACACACACACCTGTCCACACGCGTAAGACACACACACACCTGTCCACACGCGTAAGACACACACACACCTGTCCACACGCGTAAGACACACACACCTGTACACACACACACCCCCACACACCTGTACACACATGTAAGAAACACACACACACCTGTACAGACATGTAAGAAACACACACACCTGTACACACACACACCTGTACACACATGTAAGAAACACACACACACAAATGTACACACACACACACCTGTACACACACACACACACCTGTACACACACACACACACACACACACACCTGTACACACACACACACACCTGTACACACACACACACCTGTACACACACACACACCTGTACACACACACACACCTGTACACACACCTGTCCTCACGCGTAAGACACACACACACCTCTCCCCACACACAGACCTGTCACACACACACACACACACACACTTACCTGTACACACACCTACCTGTACACACACCTGTACACACACACACACACACACACACACCTACCTGTACACACGCGTAAGAAACACACACACACACCTGTACACATACACACACACCTGTACACACCTGTACACATACACACACCCCTGTCCTCTCACCTGTCCTCTCACCTGTCCTCTCACCTGTCCTCTCACCTGTCCTGTTGTCAGGTTGTTGACGTGGCGTCCCGTGGGGCAGGAGGACGAGTCTTCAGAGGGAAAACATTTTGTAAGAATCAATTCATTTTATTTAATTAGATTTGTTTATACTGTTCCTTACATCTAATACGTGTGTGTGTTTGTGTGTGTGTGTTTCTGTGTGTGTGTTTGTGTATCTGTGTGTGTGTGTGTTTGTGTATCTGTGTGTGTGTTTCTGTGTGTGTGTATCTGTGTGTGTTTGTGCGTTTGTGTGTGTGTCTGTGTGTGTGTGTGTGTGTGTGTTTGTGCGTGTGTGTGTGTTTGTGTGTGTGCGTTTGTGTGTGCGTTTGTGTATCTGTGTGTGTGTGTGTGTGTGCGTTTGTGTGTGTGTGTTTGTGTGTGTTTGTGTGTGTGTTTGTGCGATTGTGTGTGTGTGTGTTTGTGCGTTTGTGTGTGTGTCTGTGTTTGTGCATTTGTGCGTTTGTGTGTGTGTGTTTGTGCGTTTGTGTGTGTGTGTGTGTGTGTGTGTTTGTGCGTTTGTGTGTGTGTGTTGTGTGTGTGTGTTTGTGCGTTTGTGTGTGTGTGTTTGTGTGTGTGTTTGTGCGTTTGTGTGTGTGTGTTTGTGCGTTTGTGTGTGTGTGTTTGTGCGTTTGCAGGAGGTGGACTTTGACGCTCAGTCTCAGGGCAGTTTGGATCGCGCGGCGTCGGAGCGAGGACACAGTCAGATGTCCAGTGACGACACGTGGAAGGGACGCTCCAACACGCGTGAGTCTGACCTCTGACCCCCGTGACCCCCCTGACCCCGACACCTGTGTAACTCTCACCTCCGGTTCTTCTGGTTCTGTTCTAACTTGATGACTGCTGTTGTTCTCATCCTGACTGTTCTGTGTTCCTCTGTGTTCTCATGGTTCTCCTGGTTCTTGTGTGTTCTCATGGTTCTCCTGGTTCTTGTGTGTTCTCATGGTTCTCCTGGTTCTTGTGTGTTCTCATGGTTCTCCTGGTTCTTGTGTGTTCTCATGGTTCTCCTGGTTCTTGTGTGTTCTCATGGTTCTCCTGGTTCTTGTGTGTTCTCATGGTTCTCCTGGTTCTTGTGTGTTCTCATGGTTCTCCTGGTTCTTGTGTGTTCCTCAGGAGCTTCAGACCAGCGTCTCTTTGCTGGTCTCCTCATTAAATGTGTGGTGCAGCTGGAGCTCATCCAGACCATCGACAACATCGTGTTCTACCCGTCCACCAGCAAGAAGGAGGACGCAGACAACATGTCCGCCGCTCAGGTGAGACGCACACCTGTGTGCACCTGTACACGCACCTGTACACACACCCGTACACACACCCGTACACGCACCTGTACACGCACCTGTACACACACCTGTACACGCACCTGTACACACACCCGTACACGCACCTGTACACACCTGTATACACACCTGTACGCACCTGTACACACACCCATACACGCACCAGTACGCACCCGTGTACGCACCCGTGTACGCACCCTGTACACACGCACCCGTACACGCACCCGTACACACACCCGTACACGCACCTGTACACGCACCTGTACACACACCTGTACACGCACCCGTACACGCACCCGTACACGCACCTGTACACACACCCGTACACGCACCTGTACACACCTGTATACACACCTGTACGCACCTGTACACACACCCATACACGCACCAGTACGCACCCGTGTACGCACCCGTGTACGCACCCGTGTACGCACCCGTACACGCACCCGTACACGCACCCGTACACACACCCGTACACGCACCTGTAAACGCACCTGTACACGCACCTACACACACCTGTATACACACCTGTACACACACCTGTACGCACCTGTACACGCACCCTTGTACGCACCCTTGTACGCACCCTTGTACGCACCCTTGTACGCACCCTTGTACGCACCCTTGTACGCACCCGTACACGCACCCGTAAACGCACCCGTACACGCACCCGTAAACGCACCCGTACACGCACCCGTAAACGCACCCGTACACGCACCCGTACACACATCCGTGTACGCACCTGTACACACCTGTATACACACCTGTACACACACCTGTATGCACCT